AGTTAACTTTAAACTTAAGTTGGTAGTAGTAGTAATAAAGTACGAACCAAAACAATTTATTCGTATTAATACTTACTACTTAGTTAGTAATATACCACACACACACACAAAAGTGATATATACCTGAGAGTAATGTGATTTTTCAACTTTTATTGCAAATACCTAGTAAACTAAAAAATAAAAATGTGTGTATGTGTGTTTTATGCCTTAAAACAAAGAAATTTAAATATCACCATGTTTATCACTAGATGGAAAATTTGAAAGAAAAATCATTAGTAAGCATTCTTTTATGAACTCAACTTGATATGGTATTTTTTATATCATTGGATGATTCAACTTAAAACCTCAGAAAATCTTCAGCAACTTGTGTCTTTTAATATGGCTACTATGCAGTACATATTTCCACCAGATAATATTAATAACAACTTCTCAAACATTTGAAATTAAACTAAAACAAGAAAGACATTTTTACATTTTTTAAAGTTAATTTCCAGCATTTTTATTCCCATAATAAAAATACTCCAGCTTTAATAGTACAGCTGGGAAAAAAAGGTAGTGACTGGTTCATCTTGAATGATTTCAACTAGAGTAACAACAAATAAGAACATAATCCAATCATTAAAAAGTGCTTAAAGTAAAACTATTAGAAGAAAAAGCAAAGAAATTAAGATAGATTAGCTGATATATATAACTAACAACAGTTAAGTATTAGTTGTTTACTCTATATACTAGCTTTGGTTTTTCTACAATAGTACAAAACTAATAAAATTTTTTTTGGTTCAACTGAAATTAGTTTCCACTTTATTTAACATTCTAAAATGTATAAAAACCAAGTTATCTACAATTCTTAATTATTTGCATACTAGTTTAGAATGAAAAATGTGTTCAGAATATGTTAAAGATAAACTTCATTATTTTTTGGAAAAAAATATCTAAACAATTTGTTTATTAGTTGACCAGAAATTGTGAAGTGTCAAGCAGTGAATCCTTGCAGTTCTGTGATATGCAGCATTAAAAGGTGGTGAAACTATCATTCAGCAAGCTTAGATTTGTTACTAATTTAAAGTTTTCAATAAAAAAGTCTTTAGTTAACCCTTTCACCGCAGTTGGGATGTGTATTCCCCAGTGCTCCCATCCCTCACACTGTAACTGGGACAAATGTTTCCCATTGTCATTCAAAATTATTGCTTGTGATGTATGGGAGTAAAATGAGTTGAAAAGTATTTATTGTTGATCTATGGTTTCCCTTTATGTTTTCTACTCAACCCTTCAGTAACAAACAAGATGCCTAAGCAGAATTTAGGACAACTGCGTGCCGACTGTGCCCGGCATCAATACAGCAGTGAGTGTTAACCCTAATTACTATGTAAATATGCTTGATACGCTTGACTCAGAAAGCTTAGAAGATAGTGAAAGTGAGTCAAGCGGTGTTCAAATGCAGGATGATGAAGAGGCAATGAGACAAGAAGATGCTAGCTGTCCATTTAGTGATAATAATCAAGATGATGAACCTGGATCCAACAGAGGAAGGCGTAAAAAGTGTTGACAAAGGGAAACATCTGTCCCAGTTGCAGTGTGAGGGGAGCACTGGGAAATATATGTCCCAGCCTCAGCAAATGGGTTAAAAACACCTGTGCAATATAATGCCATATGTTTTATGCTAGATATAGAAATGAATAACTTATTATGCCTAAAAAAGCAATTTTTCTGATTTTGTAGTTACTGTTTCAAATTATACATACAAAATAAGATTAGATATACAATGTTTGGCTTAGCAGCACATGTGTAAATTTCTCTGATAAATACTTTACGTTCTAAAACACCTTAACTACTTAAAAGCCATACCTCATGTTGATCATTGACTACAACAATATGTCGAAGTCCAAGAGCCCTGAAGAGGCGAAAGATACGAGGAAGAGATGCAGTCTGTTTAGAATCAAATATCTCTCAAATCATTGTACAAAAGTTAGGATTTTTGTAAATATATCAGAATTTTTTAATTCCAACAATGTTTATTTTGTGTTTAATAAAATACAAAATTTACAACAATTATAATATTGTTATGGGCTATTTATATAAATAAAGATAAATTCTAAAATTTAATTATTCAAGAAAACTGAGTTAAAAATGGTAAGTTAAAGATAATGATAGGTTCAACAACCACTTAAGTTTAATATTTCTTTAATTTCAATAAAACTGCAAATGAGAATTATTGTTCAGAAGTAAAACCATATACCAGTGCATATCATTGCATATTTTACACCATAGATGTTTTAGTTAAATGTTAAACTGTCCAAGAGTCTTTCATTTAAAGTTAATATGGTTCAACAAACATAAAAGCTTCATGCATAAACAAAGTAAATAAGGATTGTTTTGACATGATACCAAAAAGAACTTGGTCTGAAAGATCTAAAAGCTTTATGCATAAACTAAGTAAATATGGATTTTCTTGATCTGATACCAAATAGAACTTGGTCAGATAGATCTAAACTAAGTAAATATGGATTGTCTTGATCTGATACCAAATAGAACTTGGTCAGATAGATCTAAACTAATTAAATATGGATTGTCTTGATCTGATACCAAATAGAACTTGGTCAGATAGATCTAAACTAAGTAAATATGGATTGTCTTGACACCATATAGAACTTGGGTGAAAGATCTAAAAGTTTCATGCATAAACTAAGTAAATAAGGATTGTCTTGATCTGATACCAAACAGAACTTGGTCAGATAGATCTAAACTAAGTAAATATGGATTGTCTTGATCTGATACCAAATAGAACTTGGTCTGAAAGATCTAAAAGCTTCATACATAAACTAAATAAATATGGATTGGCTTCACCTGATACCAAATCAATCTTTGTCTAACAGAGCTAAAAGCTTCATGCATAAACTAATAAAACACATTTTTTCAAACAAAATGCATTGGGAGAACAGTAGAGAGAATTGTTATGAAAAAGAAAGTACTGAAGAAACTAAATGAGTATCAACTTCATTGTGTTTTTACTATTTCCATGCTTCCCTTATCACCATATTCTAATTAAATGTCCAACACCCCAATTAGAAAATGATTATTCATCTCACTAAAATTAAAAATTATGACTATTCTAATGAGACTTAACATAACCTAACTTTTAATAATAAAAAAGTAAAGAAGCTTTTATATTCACATGTGAAACTGCATAAGTTGATGGGTTCATAAAAGGCCTGAGATCTATAGAAAACTCTTTCTCCTGTGGTGATATGTGAACCCGCTAGAAGAAAAAAGAAACAAACATACACAAACATATATTTAAACTGAAATTTCTGGAATTCTAACCTAAAAAGGTATTTAAAAAAAAAGACACATGAAGGATTAACTTAATAAAAGTTTTTAGACCAATTATTTCTCTGTAGGTTAAAAATATAAAACTATCTGTAAACAATCTACAGACTGTATTGGTTTCTTGTCTCAGAAGCCAGGCTTAAACAATCTGTAAATTAACAAAACGTACACTAGAAATAACACTGTTAAAAGGAATCTCAATAAAATAAAAGTTAATTATCATAAAAAAAAGAATATAAAGTTTTAAAATGTAGAATTAAAAAAAATCCAATAATAAATATTTTAAATGAAAAAAAAAAGATAATACCCTTTAAAGGTTTTTTCTTTAAATTATAAATTTTATTGTCATATAAGAGATGTTACATGTTGTTTATTCTGTACACAGTACGAGTAATCTTATGTTGGTAAAACAGATAATTTTGTGTTTAAAGATAAACAATTACATTTTATGTTAGAAATACTATTCTGAGTGTGATCCCTGTGGGCTCTGATTTTCAAGAACACTATTTTATATATTTTCCTCTCTTCATCTTGTATAAACAAAAGTAGAAGATTATCTTTCATCAAAATATTTACATAGAAAACTTTAAATATTTCATTGAAGCCTCCCTTGAAACGTGGTTCACTGGGTAGCCATCCCTAACTTAGATTAGAGGGAAGGCACCATCCACCACTAACTTTTGTGCTACTGTTTTAAAAACAAAAAGTGTGAATGACCATCACATTATAATGCCCCTTCAGCTGAAAGGGCAAGCATATTCAGTTACAGGATTCAAGACCAAACTGTCATTTTCAAGGACTTAATTTACCAATGTTAACAGAATATGACCTCCAACAAAGTTAAATAAATAACCTTTTATTATGTTTATAATAATTACAGTTAATAGCTGTACAAAACATTGTTTTGATTGATATACCCATATGTTAAAGTGATGCTTAGTTTCCCCAATATAAGAGCCCTTACAGTCTCTGCACATGTATAAATAGACGAGATGCAATCAATGGGCAATCGATACATGATCTCTGTAGCGAAAAAATTTAAGTCTGAAATTAGGTTTGAAAATAATTTTCAGATCAACTTGTGGATAGTAACAGTTATGTAATCTTTTCATTCACTTCATGATAATGAAGCTCTGTCTTTTAAGATATAGTAAGCAGGTTTGTATAAAGATAGTTTTGGCACGGTAACTATTTTCAATGGCTTGGCAAATGTACTTGTTAAGAATGAGAAATTGTTTTCTTCAACAAATGCTTAAGGTAACCATTTCAAAAAAGAATGTTTTGTATTAAAGAAATTTCTTTATGAAAGGCCAGGTGAGAAAAGATAAGTTTGTAGGCCCCAATCGGCAAGCAATGTACATAAGACTACTTTTGAAAGAAGAAGGTATAAAGCTGTCCAACTGTCCACCTTATATAACTATAACACATGAAGGATATCCTCCAATCTGAAACCTAAAGAACTGGTAGCAGTTAAAGAACTCTCTTTCAATAAAAAAGTCATCACCACTTGACTGGATAAAGGAAATGGAGTTGTTATTCTCAACAAAGCTGACAATGTTAAAAAAATGCTGGAAATTCTTAATGATTATATCAAGTTTAAAGTTATAAACAAAAAACCATTGTCTATACTTTAAAGCTTGAAGTAAAAACTCGTAGGTTTCTGAGATACTTGAGAAATAGAATTATTATTTCTGATTATGTTTACAACAATTTATATACTAAAGGCTTCCAACCTAGAGTATTATATGGCCTGCCTAAAGTTCACAAACCACACACCCTACAGTTTTCACCTTAGGTACTTTCTTGTATCTATCTTGAAACCTTTTACTGGGAATGAATTTACAATACCTGACATCTTTAGCTTTTTCTGAAAAGTCAGTCAACTCCCTCCCCATAAAACCACGTAATGGCCAGTTTTGATATCACTGCTCTTTTCACTAATATTTCCCTGGATGAAACTATTAACATTGCCCTTTCTAAGCTTTTTACAAAAAACATTCTTGTGAATGGACTTCCAGAATCTCATTTCAAATCTATGTTGAAGTTCTCAACTAAAGATTTTTTTCTCCTTTTTAAGAACTCTTTACAAACAGATAGATGACATTACTATGGGCTCTTCCTTAAGACTAATGCTTATCAACCTTTTTCTTTGTCATCAGAATTGGATGAACAACTGTCCTTCAAACATCAAGCCTGTTCTCTACAAATGCTGAGTAATTGATACTTTCCTTATTTTTTATCATAAAGACCATATCCCATGCTTTCTTGAATATCTTAACTCACAACGTCCCTCTCTACACTTTACTCATGATAATGAGACTAATAACTCATATTTTCTTTCTGGACATTTTAATTAATCATGATACCAACAGTTCTTCTACATCATAAAAATACATTTATTGTTCTATTCACTCAGTTTTATAGCTTTATACCTTCTTCTTTCAAATGCATTCTTAAACTTTGCCTACTGAATAGGGCCTACAAACTTACCTCTTCTTAACCTGGCCCTTCACAAAGAAATTTTTTTTTTATACAAAGCATTCTTTTTGAAGTGGCAACCCTAAGCATTTACTGCAGAAAACAACTTTCTCATTCTTAACAAATATGCTTACCAAGCTGTTTAAAATACTTACTGTAATAAAACCAGTGCTTGAGGTGGAGTGTAACACGGGAGTATGTATACCCCACTTCTCTAATTTGACATTTTGCATACCCCCACTTCTTGTGCATCATGATTAAGAATTCCAAACAATGGAAAATGCTATCACCATTTTATGTGCGAGTATACCCCCACTTCTGAATTTCCACTTCGAGCACTGACTTAAAACTATCTTTATCCACACCTGCTTACGATATCTTGGAAGACAGAGCTCCATTATCATGAAGTAACTGAAAAGATTATGTAACTGTTACTATCCCCAAATTAATCTGAAAGTTATTAATACTCGTGATTTAATTTGCATTATATGTTCATTTTTTTGTACTAAAATTGTATAATATCCTTCCCTATAGAGTATATGATTACCATTGTGTATTTTTTTATCTCTAGCTTACTAAAGATGAAATTCTGAAGATTCCAAACATATATTAAAAGCTTCAGATAATTATGTAATTGTTGTTACTTATAATTAAATTACATTTTTTGAAAAACAAATCCATCACAAATAAAATTTACTGAACATATTATTTTAACTTGCTAATAGAACGTTAAGTCAACTTGTATTAACTGGTTGCTGATCATATACAAATGAAGATACAATGCCAACAATGCAAAGATTCAATGTTACTCTTATTGTTACCAAAACAATTCTCATATTATTTCACACATTAACAATGTTTTATATCTTGTAATTTTCCCACATAGTTGCATCTTATTACTTTAAATGTTTTCTCAGTTTACTGCTGCACTTCCACCTAAAAAAAAGAACTTTTCAAGGAACTAGAAGCATTGTGCATAAATAAAACCTTTATATTTCAACATGATATTCAGTGTGTAAATGTTCTTGTATGATAAAACATACCTATGTTTAAACAATATTTAAAATAATAATTGTTCTGAATAGCTCTACTTGTCAAAGGTGTTGTTATGTATATCAGTCATTATGAGTATGATGGTTATAAGAAAATCAAACAATTTTAGACCTAGGAAAAAAAAAAACTAATAAGAGTACAAAGAGACAAAATAATTAGTAACGGGGTGAAAAATTTCACTCAAAATATTCCAGCCTAAATGAATCACTGCATAAATAATGGCAGAAATAATCAGGTATATGCTGACAAGCTGTCTTTAATGGCCAATATTTGACTTTTCATACATGGCCACTAGGATTATGACACTCTTATACTATTATATTTTTACCATTTGGATAATTTGGATTTATATTTCTTTCTATCTTTTTATCAACCAATGTTAGGCAGAATAACTGATGAAGAACTTAGGCTAGAAACTTTGTTAATATTTGATACATTTCTATTGAAGATGGAATTCTGAAACATCCATGTTATTTTTGCTATCAATAATTTTATGATTTTAAAATCCTGCCAAATGAGTCTTGAGCTTATTTTATTATGTTATGAATATTATTTCAACAATATTCATGTACACGTTTACTTGCAGACAGAGGTACTTAATTCAAAGTCTGTTACTAATCATTGTTGCCAAGACAGTATATTTCCATTTCTATGAGTCACATTTTCTAGAGATCGTTTTTTCATAAAATGGAGATACATAGAAAGGTATGGCTTGTATTCAATAAAAATGGGAATATAGAAGAAATGAGGTTAGACACTCACAAACTTTTCTAGCATCTCTTGATAAAAACCATTGATTTTGCATGATTACCAGTCACAAAATATTTGTGTATAAGATTCTACAACTTTCAAGGATTTCATGACCTGTGCAAACCTTCTTGAAGATTAGAAATCCTTGAACACACATGGAAAGCCCTATAGTAAATGCAACCTTGGTTTTCCTTCCTCTTTCATGAGTTAGCAATTGAAGAAGTTGGGTACATAGATATTTTAAATTTTTTAATTAAAAATTACCCATTCGGATCTATTTAACCTTATGTTTTAAGACTGTGTACCTTTGTACTCGTCACACATAAAGGATAGAGAAATAAAATGTTGGTACAAACTACAGTGTGAGAAAAATTATATGTACTTATCATGAATTATGTATTGGGATTTGTTTAATCTTATGTTTTAAGAGTTTTTACTTGTCATAATAAAGGATAGAAAAATAAAACATTGGTATAAACTACAGTGTGAGAAAAATTAGATATATCTTTTATAAAAGAGGTATCTGAAGAAATAGAAACCATCCAGATGTTGGAACACACCATCTATCAAATTTATCCTCTATTTACAAGCCTCACAAGTGAAACATGAATGACAATTAACTCTCAACATGGGCTCGGTCAATCTGACCAACCATGTGAACTCTTTGTACTTGTTTAAAGTCTTTTTAGATTTAATACTTCTAACTTTCAATATAGTGCGTATGTCTTCACAAAATTTGGCAGTCTTTCAGTTAATATTACAAGTCTTTCACATACAAAAAATTTGTTTTGAATAGTCCATGTACAAAGTAATTTTCATGTTCAAATTAAAAATACTTTTCCTCATCTCAAATTTCCTTTGTGAATCCCTAAAACCTCCTAAATGCATTTCAAACATTTTTTTCAGTAAAACTTTATATTTTATCTGTTATTTTCTCACCCTATCTGAAAACGGGATTGGTCAATTCGACTGACCTCCTAACCACCATAAAACAAAAATCGAAATAAACCTAAATTACCCTTTTTTACTTTCTAGAATGATGTCAATTCCTGAGGAATTTTTATTATTAATTTTTTTCATTATCTTACCTAATCTAACCTAATAAGTTTATGATTTTAATATTTCAGTTATATTTACAATAATAGATAAAGGATATACATGAAAAACAACAAATATAGTACTTGCCTGGGCCTTATTTTTTGCTGTCAACTGTTGATGAAACTTAAATCTACTCTTTTATACTAATGGTACTATTATATTATATCATTTTTTATTTAATTAAATAAAGCACCTAAGAACAAAGAATAATAAAACATAAAAAGCAAACAATGTCCTACAATTATCATGCTTTTTCTGACTTTCTAACTATGAAATAAGAGCCTTTAATAACTCAGGTAAAACAAATTTTAAACAGAAACAGGAAATAGACAATTTTCTGTGTAGAAAACAATGCAATATAACACATCATTTGATAGATTAAAACTATTAGTTATAAATAATATAGTATAAAACGTCAGAGAGAACCATCAGCAATTTGTGATAGACAGGATGTGAGAGGTGGGCATGGCAAGTTGGTCTGATTTTCTAGTTTATGGCTCTGTAAACAAATAAGATTGAAGACCATAAAAAAGATGCTTTGCCTGAATAATATCTATATTATAATAAGCAATTTCTTGGAGGGGTGGTAAATAAATTAGAGAAGAGAGAAGACAGAGAGCAAATGTTACAATTCTCATACTAGGGGAGATTGAGAATTTATCTTTAATATTTCCTTATAAAAAAAATAAGAACTTAAACCTTAAAAAATATTAACATTTGATTTATTAACTATGTTTTGTGCCAAGTTGATTCATGTACATATAATGGAGTAAATGAATTTTGAATGCAACTCAGTAAAAGGTTGTGATGTACAATGTGACCTGCCCAATACAAAAGGGTTAAATTTAAATCAATTTACTTTAACATACAGATAAAATGATAAGTCCATGTATTAAAAACTGTTATTATATATCCTGATGATTTACAAATAAAAACAAAATTACAATAACTGATACTCATGCACATTACTTGGATTCAGACAAAAAATCAGCAATAGTTTGTTTGCTATACTTCTGATAAATGTTGAGAATTTTCTTTCCAAATTTATGGACATCTTGCATCTAACAGTAACATACCTTCTTCTGTTTTTGCAAACAAAAAGAAATATACATTTTCATAGATATTTAATTAATGCAGAATTTATAGTAAGTTGGAATACTTCCTTTTGAATGTAAATCTTTTATTCATAAGTCTCAGGCAAAAATTCTCAACTTTTGTTTAAACATTTAATACTTAATATCAACATATGCTGCACTGGATATGAACCTTGTCCCCATACATTCTCTGAACCTTTGCACCATGGGGCAAAAAACAAACAAACTGGAATTTGTCTTAGGGCCCTGGAAAATTTTGGGTCTATACCTCTGTAATGTAATCTACGTATATTTTGGGGCCTAATTTGCTTTTTCATTAATGGCTCTTTAATGTTCATACAATGACCTTCAATTTATTTTGTAGCCTTTTAGCATGGATGAGACCATTCTCCATGTGCAATATGTGCTATTCATTTATATTTCTGGGTTTAGAGAGGGTGGGGGGGATAAGAATTTCATAATGTTCCAAAACTAATACACATGGAACGATCTTTACAAGTATATATTTAAATTGTATTTACAATAAAGGCAACTGTCAAAGACTGAATTATTGGTAAATATATATACACATATTTTACACAATACCTTCTGTGATAACTGCAGACATGGGTGTCTGCAAACTTTTTTCCCAGGGAAGGGCATAGTAGTGTGAAATTGTAAATATATAAAATATTCATATACATATGCTGAATGAATAAAGAGTTATGTTTCTCATTTTCCAGAGGGGGGGCAAGTGCCCTCTCTCGTCCTCCTCTGGGGATGCTCATGACTACACCCAATACAAGCTTACTAAGTTCTCTGTTATTTATTAAATGGAGGTATTAAAATAAGTTAGAGTTACTTCAATGTGCAATTAAAAATACTAGAACTAATGAGCACAGAAAGACTACTAGGACAAACACTGAACTATGAAACTGATAACTAAATTCTCCTTGCAATGTAAATGGATGATATAAAGATGGTAGCCATTATGTGAGTAAAACAGGAGATCTGAACAGTACAAGTCTAAACCCATGTTTTAAAGCACAGTAAAGTAGTTATTATGGGAGCTGGAACATCACATTCTGAAAATGAATTTTACCTTTCACCTCCCATAATCAGTTGCATCAACTTATTCTATACAATCTTTAATTCTCTTTTATTGTATTTCTGCATAATAAACTGAGGTTAATGCCATTCCTTCCTTCTCTTTACATAATTTCCAAATCCACCAACCATACAAATATATATGGACAATGACTTTTGAGGGTCCAATTATCTCTTAAGCTTATAGGTTAGGCTCCCTACTGCATACTTTCCATTGTAAAAGGTTCTGTTATAAGGCTGTCATGTCAAAAGCATACCACTTCCCCTTGCAAACTTTCCATAATCCATCTACTGCTTGAGAATTACAGTTTCACAGTGCCCATTTCAACAGTCCAATCACACAGAAATCCAGTTATGCTGCATCTGTTAACTTGGCCAATATGTTTTTTATATACATAATAATCATTTACTAATAAATGCTTACATCTCAGCTCATTTTTTACAGTGACCATTTTCTGTACATGATACAAGATTTTACTTAGTTATATTTAAATTTTAATTAAGCTATTTTATGATCAATGTTTGCCAATGAAATCAGCATTAAAATTTATGTTATAGTCCAAAGTTTTATATTATCTAAGTTTTAATTCCTTTATTTCAAAAGCAACCTTAAAGAAAAGTTCTTAAAGATTTGTTATTTTCTCTCGTGATCCATAAGTTCACAAAATGTTAAATTTGTAGTTTGAACAGTTCTTGACTCAAGCTAACCTTCCATATATAGAAAGAATCTAGGTTAATTGCTCTGTTTACACATTCTTCTTTCAAGTTCCATAGGGCCCGTTCAGAGAAATAAAATTCTCTTGACAGATGCCATGCCCATTTTCTACACAGAGAAAAGAGAGCTTTTTGAAGTACGTTCTTTTAATTGTTACTTTAAAACTGTCACAATGAATTATATAAAGAACTAGTCAAACTGCTCTTAGCATTGGTGGTTACAAGATCGGTCAAATCTACAAAACCCATATAGAGTTTCGTTACTGAAAATAACAGATAAAATATAAAGTTTTTTCTTAACTTAAAGAAACATTTGATAACTATCCGGACATCATAAATTTTGCATATGTAATTTCAAAATTTTCTCTTAATAAAGTTTTCTTAAGAAACGTTTGATAACTATCTGGACATTGTATAAAGATTTTGCATATGAAATTTCAAAATTTTCTGATGCATAAAAGTATTTTTAATCTGAAAATGAAAATTATTTGGAGAGGCAACATGCAAAGAGAAAAAAAGGCATGAGAAACACATTGCTTTACAAACCTTAAGACTTAATAAAGAAATTTTATATTTTGTGTATGAAAGCATTGTAATGTTTACTGATAATCTGCAAAATTACGTTAACATATGCTTACTAATTTAAAAGTTATAGCATGAAAACTATAACAAGTACAAACTGGTTATGAGGTTAGTCCCAGGGACCAAGCCCATGCTGAAAGACTTAATAAACTTCTAAAAATAAAATGAAAGTTAAAATTGAAAGATTCTACCCTCTGAACATAGGTAATTTTTCTTCAATTTTTGGCAAAAATTTCAAGAATAATACAGAAAGTGTTCATTGTATTCATTAATATTTTCTTATTAGAAAAAAAGGAAATATAAGAAATAATTCCTAACACAATTTTAATTAAGTTAAATATTTCAGTTCAAAATACCTACACGAATACTAAAAGGTTGTTGGTACAAAAAACATACTATAACTTTATGCAAAGGTATGAAACCCTGTGACGTGAGCACTTTTGAAAGGTAGACCAACAGTGCTTGAGTTATAGAGTTTCTTATTTTTGTTTTTAACTGATTTTTTGAACCTACATGTTTTTCTAACATCATGAAAAATAACTAGAACTAAAAAGCTGTGAAATGAAAAAATACCTGCAACTCATTTGGTCATTAAATAAAAACAAGCATACACTATCATATAAACTAGAGTAACTTAGGTACTTAGTTACAAAACATACTTGTATAGGTGGGTATCTTGGATAAGCATCTCTGAAATCATTTAGAGTAAGTTTTTTGTTAGCCCACTGTCTTTCTGCTGTTTCATTGAAAACCTGGAAAATGGAATTTATTTTATAGTTACATGAAGGATTTCATATTAAGTAAACAGCAACAATATACTCTACATATGAAACTAAAAATCAAGATAAATATAAAAGGTTTCTGTTATTTATGTGCATTGTAAAACATATATAGGAATATATGCACTGGCATCTGCGAGTTAATTCTCTTAATTCAGTTTAAAGTATGTGCAGTTTTGGGTTCCAATCCTACATTAAAAGAGAGATTTCCAGATGTTCACTGTTTGTTAATTGTTATGATCTGTATTTGAATGTTTTAAAACACTGATAAGCATTATCCTAATGTTCAACTTTTAGAACACACATATATAATAACTGATTTCAATCTCACATTTATTACTCTTAAGTTTCTGTGAAGTAAATAATAAAATCAAAATAAACATACTAAGCTTACAAGGATGGCATCCTACGTTTTTCAATTTCTTCAGTGAAACTATTTAAAATTGGCACATAAATAAGAAAAAAAAAGGAATTTGAGCTTTACAGTCTAATAGGCATGGCTGAAAAACTCTTGCCAAATTCATAACTAAAGGAAGCAAAAGCTGAGGTATAGTTAATACATCTGACATGTCACAGGTATTTAAATCCCATCCATCCTCAATCCAAAATTTCAACTAGTAATTACACCAATTTATTGTTACAAGTAATACCACAATAAACACTACATACATAATTTGATACATTAGTTTTTCCGAGAAGATGTCTAAAGTTATAATTTTCCTATACTGAAAATGTATTTCTGATAAGTACTTATCTCCATTCACATGAAAAGAGGAGCACATCCAAGTGGGAGAGAACTAAGGTCAGATAGTGATCCAAACCATACAATATTTATAAAACTCTATCCCAGAAAATATAAAAGTAAGCAAAATAAAATAGGTGTAGAGTGGCTAAGACATGATGGACTGTACACGGCACGTCACCTACATCCAAAACCCATGCTGCCGAGAACCGACATCCACGCAGGGGTAGGATGAGGATCCTACCATCAATAAGTCAACTATAATCCAAAACCCGGCTTAAAGGTACCAATATCCATGTGGGGTTGGAAAGAGGATCATAACACCGAAAAGTCGACTACAATCCAAAATCCAACCATCCAGTGGGTGTAGGAAAGAGGATCATACCATCTTCACCTCAAGTTCATAAGAATGGAGGAATCAAGAACCCTCCCCCGACCCATGAACGGGGCACATTTTAATATAAGAAATTGATAGATCAATCCAAATCTACACCAGCAGAACACTACCACCCTACTCTCAACTGAATGGTTGTATAATCATTTCTATATTTTATTTGTATGTCATTAACCCATTCAGGAACTGGAAAGAGGTAAGGACTCTCAAACTCCACTAGAGGAAAAAAAGGGTGGGAAAATGAGGTAGAGAGTCCAAAGGAACAAGAACACCTGAAACTATATTTTCAAAAGCAGACCATACCGATTTATTCAATACAAGGCATAACAGGGATGGACAGCTGCCCCCTTCTGCTTTACCCATGTAGTCCATGGGTGAGTATGATCCAGGACAGGCAAATTTATCAAGCAATTGCATCATGAGGATAAACCTACAAACGATCTTGTTAAACACCCCATCTCTGCAGTGTGTGTTGCATGGCCATGAAAATATAATATGTAAGTCGACATGGCCAGACAGTGCGGACTTGATCGGTTAAAGAATACCTAGTCACGTACCACTCACCACAGAGTGGGATCCAGATAGAAAAAGAGGGACATGCCCCTAAAAAAGAACAGGTATATATACTAAAAGGTAACTTACCAGTCACAGTCTCATGTTGAGAGTGAAGGATGGCAACAGGTGGATGACATTACCCAGACAAGGAAGAAACAGCTACCCAAAGCAGAGAATGGAGAATGTAGTCCTAGTGCTAGACAGACGAACAGCAGGGTAGACATGCATGGAAAAGGAAGGTGCATGATAGGAGTGAAGACACAAGTAAATAATGATGGGAAGAAAGGAGACAAGAAATAAAAGGCCAATTGAATCACAATCCAAACCCAAAAGGTAAGGGAGGAAGGAAAAAATCACAGAGAAAGAAGTGTAGTAAGAGGAGAAAACTGTAGGAAACTAATTCAACAGAAAGAGGCTTTGAAAATAATGAAGCAACACACAACATGTACTGGACAGAGAAGGTAATTTGGATCCCACTAAAAAGAAATGTGGAAGACAGGAAGAAATGAAAAAGTCAAAAGAAATATACCACATGAGACACTAAAATGTAGGTGAATAAGATCAATCCAGAACAAAAGTAACAAATCGAGCCAAAACATCTGAGAAAACCAAAGCAGTGCTGGCCAGGAATGATCAATCAGAAAGATCTGAACTGGAGTGACACGGATGCACAAAAATCTGGGGAAGAAGACTGATGGAATGAGAAAAACTAATGTAAATCTGTCTCAACTAAATGACAGACAGCGTAATTGGATGATGAACCAAAGACCAAAAACAAAAGAGATAATTAACTGGGAAGTGATAAAAGATTAAAAACTTCACATGGAGAAGTACCCCACAGGAGGCAGAGCCACCAAAAATTAGGGGGATTGAGAAGTCACTCTTTAGCAGAAAGTGTGTCAGGGTTGGAAAGTCAATTTGCTATGAGGACAAAGGACCTGGAACACAACCCTCCAGGAGACGTTTGCGAAGTACAAGGGTTCAAAAAAAAAAGAAGAAATCCACTGTTTACATCAAAGGGAACAAGAAGTAGTGTCCCCTTGGCAAGTGATATAAGCCACCACCCTCAGAAAGTATAAATGAAACAGGACTAATCAAACCAGACAAGAGGATGAGTGGGAACCGAAGCACCTCAGACTGGCAGAAGTGCCTGCATGTGAAGAGGATGAGACTTTTCGACTGTAGACCATTATCCTGCAGTCTCCTACTGATAGAATCACTCCCCCTACCTTTGGAGATGAGCATCAGGGAGGAGAAACAATCCAGAATAGGGGAAAAAAGCGGTAAACCCAACGTCATGGGGGATATGTTCAGCTATCAATGCATTTAGACTAATAGGGAAGGATGAAAATTAACAGGAAAACCTAAAGTAAAAGCTTGGATAACAGAAATCACCTGTGAATGCATTCAAGGAGGAGAATGGATGGGCCCGACAGAAGGGTGTTTAAAAAAATACACACCTCAAAGAAACTAGAATATGAGGTATGTAAGAGGAAAACTTAACCAACCAGAAATCCAACTACCCAATCCAACTGTGGAAGGTATATGAGTATGTGAAGATAACCCTCATGTTAAAGGAGCTAACTCAAGGAAGATGTCCAATCAACATTGTTGGCAAAATCCCCCAAAATTTCAGGTAAAGACCGCCCCTCAAAAGACATATGGAACAGAAAAAAAATCCAAAGGTCAAGGCATGAAACTGGTATCCAATCACGTGGTGAAAAACAAACAAACCACAGATAGGAATGTTTATTGTGGGCATTTTCAGTCATGCAGAAACAGCCTACCCAAATGTGATCAAAGACTACAGAATAAAACAGGGAAGACCCAAGAAGTGATTGAGGTGGGACTGATCGATCCAGAACCCCAATCAGCATCGAGTAAACAAGACGAATGAATAAACCCTGCAGGTAAGACAGGTAAAGGACAGGAAGTGGCTGAACATATAAATAAATAAAGATGATAATATCTCAGAATGAAACAAAAGACCAATTTAAAATATTGAATATAGCATCACAGATACTCCATGTGATGCTAAATGTACAGAAGTAGTCCCACCCCCAAAAAACCACACATTGCCATATCTTAATTTTAGTTGGAATTTCAATTTTGTTTCAGCTTATTCTATTCATTTCAACCCATGATGACATCATGTAGTAAACAGTCAGAATGTATTAAGAGTCTGGCAATGAAAGTGCACAAAATTGCAAATGTTTTCCTACTGTGTTTAAGTCTCCTACTGAACAAAATCCACAGGTATATATTGAATGCATACACACACATATGCATATTTTTGTCTAGCCAAATTCATAGAATCATATTAGGCAAAATACAAAAAAACTGTTTGAGAAAATGAAAGGAAAATGCTACACCTGTTGTGAAACAGAAGTCAACATTGATGTGAGAGCTGAAATAGTTATCCTACATGGCATGAAAAGTTAACTTTTATGGTTGAAAACAGCCAAATGAAGATATAGTGTTACCAAGATGTTTAAAAATAAAATGTTAACATATGACACAAAGTGTCAGAGTACAATTTTACTTAGTATTCTAGTGTTCTATTCTTATAGCTCTGTACCAGTATGGTGTGAGAGTACTTAACAAGGATTAAGCTCTGGCCACTAGAGGCGAGTGATTGCCAGCTTGTGAAGTTACAAGCAGAAATCAACACAAATGATACTATATGTCACATACAGCATGTTTTACAATAGCATCCCTTCTCTGTCATCTTGAATGGTATGCTTAGTGAGTAATGTCTCTTGGTATACCTGAGAACCTGGTGCTTAACAGTACTTTGACCATTGATACTATATGTCACATACAGCCTGTTTTACAATAGCATCCCTTCTCTGTCATCTTGAATGGTATGCTTAGTGAGTAATGTCTCTTGGTATACCTGAGAACCTGGTGCTTAACAGTACTTTGGCCATTGTCCATCCCAATACACATTTGAATAAGGCAAGAGTTTTAGTGAATTTTGGAACAGTATAGGAGTCTGCAGCTTTGCTGCAACAGAGCATGAAGTCTTAATCCATCACGGGATAGATATGCCAGTACTGACTTCCCTGTTCATTCCAGATACTGTCAGATAATATTCATACTTACTTTCTTTCACAAATACTATGTATCTCACTCTCCTATAGTACATTTCATATTTAAACAACTTCTAATATTTTCCTAAAGTTCTAATTTGGAACATGCTCAATCCAGTCAAGGTCATGTGTCAAACTGAGCCTGAGGAATTACTTTCTGTAGCTGGTCCAGTCTAAGAACTTATAAACTCTTTCATGGACTTGTTGTATCGTGTCTTACTTTATCTTGTATGAGTGTTTTACGTCTGTCATGTAAAGCAGGGATACTTCCAGTTTCTTGCAATCCTATTTCAATTGGACAGCTACAGAGAGGATGTGGATGGTGAGAGCAGTTTTGGACAGCCATATAGAGAAAGTGGATCATTAGAGTAGTTTCAGACAGCCATATAGAGAATGTGGATAATTAGAGTAATTTTGCACAGCTATATAGAGAATGTGAATTATTAAATCAGTTTTGGACAACCATAGAGAGATGTGGATTGTTAGAGCAGTTTTGGACAGCCATATAGAGAAAGTGGATCATTAGAGTAGTTTCAGACAGCCATATAGAGAAATTGGATAATTAGAGTAATTTTGCACAGCTATATAGAGAATGTAAATTATTAAATCAGTTTTGGACAACCATATAGAGATGTGGATTGTTAGAGCAGTTTTGGACAACTATATAGAGAATTGGAATAGTGAGAACAGTTTTGGATAGCTATATAGAGAATGTGGGTTGTTAGAGCAGTCTTGAACAGCCAAATATAGAAGGTGAACTGTTAGAGCAAGTTTTGGACAGCTATATAGAGAATGTAGATTACAAGAGCAATCTTGCTTAGCTATAAAGATTTGAATCATGACAGTAATTTTGACACTTATAGGGAGATTAGCTTCTGCTTTGAAAGGGTGAAGACTTGCATTAAGAGGCTGTGTTTTTGTGTATGTTCTTTATTGCATATGATAACTTGGCATTGTGATATTTTAGTTTTACTTTAATTTAAAGTTTGTGTTAGTTTGGGTGAAAGTATGTATAACATGCAGAATTTCAATTCCACTAAAATTTTGAGAACAAACTCTGAGATAAATGGAGGTGACAAGAAATTGCAAAAAGAGAGTTCAGTAAATGTATAAGTTCATAAAGCTTTTTCATTTGATTAAGATGGTATAGTTCACATATACATTGAGCAAAAACTAATGTTCATGTTTCAAAAATAATCACCTACACGTGTATTATACAAGCCCTGTTGCTATGCTGGAGCTCGCACTTATAAGTCTTGAATAACATTTAGCAGAAACATGCAGTAGCATGACATCTGTTCTCAGAAGTTTTCTCTTATTACATATACATGTATAATCCAAGGAACAAAAAACTTGTACCTAAAAAAATTAAAACTGTGTGTATTGTGTTCATAAACTGTAAAAGTTAACTTTTTTATGTTTAAGGTAACTAAAAAAATATATATTTAGTGGCAATGCTATGTCAAACACTAAGGTTGTAACTTTTACAACTTCATAAACATGCCAATAAAGAAAAAAATAAGCCAAAATATATATACAAAATTAAAAAAGAACATTTCAGTAAAACCAGAGGAAAAAACTACATTTCCTAGCTGTCCTTTTTCAGTCTTTTCAGCTAGAGAGACAGAGAGAATAAAAAAGAGAGTCTGGGATTGATACAATTGTTCTTATTGTAATTTTAGTGGCCTCAAAATATCTTCATTGATTCCATTTTCAATGATATATATAAAGAAAATGCTAATGGCAAATGCAGTTTTTCCTACTTTATCAAGAAATAACTTTAAACAAATTTGCATTTAAAAAATATTTGAATTTAATGATTTTTCACTGGTAAAAACTCTAAATATGAACAGAATTTGAAACTCTTTCATAAAGTCCTGATGATAAACCACATAAATAGAGCTTAAATAATTATCTCAGACAGCATTTTGAGTATGTAATCATGATAACTGTGAAATCTGGCAACTTATTAGATTCTGATATTTCCAGAATTAATTAACTTCACCACATGAGCTCGCTTCAATTATCTTCAAATGTTTCTATAACATAATATACATTATATTAAATAGCAATAAGCATAACAGAGCTTTATTGTATAACACCTACCTTGTGCTGTAGAAGTACAATAAGCTGCCATCTAAGGATTAATCCACGAAACCTTCCAAATGTTCGATTAGTTGATAAGGATGCTGGCTAAAATAATATAAAACAGACTGCCTTTTGATTTTGCAAAATTACAGTGAGACATAAAATGTTGTCCCTACTTAAGTAATGCTGACAAATGAGGTTCTGTTCATCCTGGCCATCCAACAGTAAAGCAGTGTAATAACTATTTTAATTTGTTCAATTTTGAATCAATATGTTTCATAAATGAAAAACAAACAGAGTATATGTGTTAACTCTCTCAATACAGGCTCGGTCAATATGACTGATCATGACCTCTTTTGTACTCGTTCAAAGTCTTTATAGATTTGATATTACTAACTTTTAATATAGTGTGTATATCTTAATAAAATTTGGCAAGTCTTTCAATAAAAATTACGTCTTTCACATACAAAAAATCATATTTTTTAGTGAAGTATTTTTAATAAACTAAAAAAAAAAGATTTGTCCGTGAATATATCAAGTATTTGTTTTGAATAGTCTATGTGCAAAGTGATTTTCATGTTAAGATTAAAAATACTTTTCTTCATCTTAAAAATCACAATTTGTGTAATCTCTAAAACCTCCTAAATACATGTCAAATGTTTGTTTTTGGTAAAACTTCATATTATAGATTTGATACTACTAACTTTTAATATAGCGTGTATATCTTAACAAAATTTGGCAAGTCTTTCAGTAAAAATTATGTCTTTCAAATACAAAAAATCATATTTTTTTAGTAAAGTATTTTTAATAAACTAAAAAAAGATCTGTCCGTGAATATATCAAGTATTTGTTTTGAATAGTCCATGTGTAAAGTGATTTTCATGTTAAAACTAAAAATACATTTCTTCATCTTATAAATTACAATTTGTGTAATCTCTAAAACCTCCTAAATACATTTCAAATGTTTGTTTTCAGTAAAACTTCATATTTTGTGTGTTATTTGTCAATTTGACCAACCTCATAACCACCAAAAGAAAATTCAAATAAATCTAAATTACCCTCTTTTTCTTTCTAGAATGGCTTCAAATGTAACATGAAATTATATTCATTTATCCTAAGTAGCTTTAAACTCATGAAAGTATCCATCTGTTTAAAATTAAATTTTATTGTTTTATTGCCCTTTGGATCATGTCTAACTACTGTTTGTGCCATTATAAGTTGTAAATCACTTTACACTAACAAAGTACCTTACCCACAAACTATTCTGAGCTACTCGTGTGCATGCCTCATGAAATATTCTTATTGTTTATTTTACCTTAACTAACCTAAAGAGATCCTTATTTTTACATTTTTAATACATTTATAATAATAAATAAAGAATAAAAATAAGAAATAAAGTACTTATCCGATTATTCTTTTTTTATTTGCTATCGACTATGTATGACACTTAACTCTACTTGTTTTATACTAATGGTAGTAGGGGATTAAATAATTATTTAATTAAGAAGTGCAACAAAGAACATAGAACAATAATATGCAAAAAGAAAACAATTTCCTCTAACAATCACAGTTTTTCTGGCTTTCTAACTATACAACAATAGCCATTACAAATTCTTCCAAGCTAGTCATTACCTTTCCCGTGGGAACAAAGCCTGTACTACATGTGAAACTGATGATTATCTGTCCAGAACACAAAGTAATATAATACATCATTTGATAGATGAAAACCTTGGCTTTCTATTGGTTATAGGTAATGTATATAATTAAACGTAAGAGAGAACTATTAACAAATCCTAAAAGAGAGGCTATGACAAGGGGGGGTGTCTGATTTTCAATTTGATATTTCTGCAACCAAAAAAATTGAAGGCTATAAAAATTATGATTTGTCTGAGCAATGACGATTTTATAGTGAGTAATTTACACTTCATTTCGTAGTTACTGGAAGAGTGGTGGATAAAGTAGAGAAAAGAAAATACATATATAGAGAAATTGTGTCACACTAGGGGAAATTCAGAATTTTTTAAAATATTGCCTTATAATATTAAGAAGTTAAAACTTATATACTATTAAAATATGGTTTATTAGCTAAGATTTTATGCTATACAAATTGGTATAACATAAACAAAAAGTACTTTAAGAAAAATGTTGAATGTAAGACACTAAAACCTTGTGTCATGAACAGTAAAGGATACCCATGGAGATAGGGTTAATAAGTGAGGGCTAAACTTGGAGCAGTCAACACTCTAACTCCATATATTCACAGACAAATCTTTAGCAACATCACTTAAGAAATGTTTGTGTATAAAAGACTTGTAATATTTACTGAAAGCTGCCAAATTTCCTAAAAATGCACAAAATGTATTAAAAGTTATAGTATGGAACTCTGATGGTTACTTCGTGGTTACAAGGTCGGTCACATCAACCAACCCTGTATAGAAAGAGTTAGACAAAGAAATCAAGGGACAAGTGTTGGTGGCAAAAAGTTTTTCTTTTCATAAATCATTTCAATGTAAAAAATATGAATAATGAAAAAGGTAGGGAGTGACATTATGAGATCAGTTGGAAGATAAATAATTTAATCAAAAAGATCCTTATTACAAACAACAACCCTTAACTCTCTCTATAGAGATTCGGTGAAATTGGCTGACCATGTGAGACTAATTTGTACTCGTTTAAAGGCATTATAGTTTTGATATTAATAACTTTTAATATAATATGTATATTTTCACATACAAAAAAATTCAGTGAAATATTTTTAATACACTAAAAAAAAGATTTGCCATGAATATATCGTCTTTTTTTTTTTTACTAATCCAAGTGCAAAGTGATTTTCACGTTAAGATTAAAAATAGTTTTCTTCATCTGAAAATTTCAAATTTATTTGCATAATCTCCAAAAACTAAATACATTTAAAACATTTTTCAGTAAAACTTTATATTTTATATGATATTTTCTCTACTGTAACTCTATACGTAGTTGGTCAATTTGACCAACCTTGTAACCATCAAAAGAAATTTGAAATAAATCTAAATTACCCTTTTTTTTCTTTCTAGAATGACTTCAATTGTAACATGAAACTACATTCATTCATCCTAAGTAGCTTTAAGTTCCTAACGGTATACAACTATTTATACTTAAATTTTATTATTTTATTGCCCTTGGAACCGTGTCTAAGTACTATTCATGCCATTATAAGTTGTAACTCATTTAGGGAACATGCAACTTACATTACGCTATCGAATTACATTACCAATGAGCTACTCCAAGCTGCTCATGTATGTGCTTCATGAAACATTTTTATTATATTATTATCTATTTTACCTAATCTAACTTTAACTAACCTACAAAAATTCCTATTTTTACATTTTAGTTACTTTTATAATAATAAATAAAGAATACCTATGAAAAACAAGAAATAAAGTACTTATTTGGGTATTCTTTTTTTCGTTAACAACTAACGAGGACACTTAACCCTACTTTTGTATTCTGATGGTATTAATGCACTAAACAATTTTTATTTAATTAAATAATGCACCAAAGAATATAGAATAATTATATGCAAGAAGCAGACAATGTCATATAACTATCCCAAATTCATCCACGGTAGTCGATATCTTTCCCATGGCAACGAATCATGTACTAAAAGACAAATTGAGAATTCTCTGTTCAGAAAACAAAGTAATATAATACATCATTTGATAGATGAAAACCTTGATTTTCTATTGGTTATAAGTAATATAATATTAAACATAAGAGAAATCTATTAACAAATCCTGAGAGATAAGATGTGACAGATGGGTGTGGCAAGAGGGGTCTGATTTTCTATTTGATGGATCTGTAACCAAACATGATTGAAAGCTACAAGAATTATGTTCTGACTGAACAATAACGATTTGATAGTGAGTAACTTGCATTAATTTTGTACTTATTGGAGCAGAAGAGTTGTGAATCAATTAAAGAAGAGGAGATGCCTAGATAAAAATGTAATTTCTCAAACTATGGGAAATTCAGGATTTCTTTTTAATATTTCCTTAAAAAAATCAAGAACTTACAACTTATATACTATTAAAATATGCATTGTTAGCTATGATTTTATGCTATACTAATTGGTATAACATAAAGAAAAAGTAGTTTAATTAAATTTTTAATGTAAGTCATTAAAAACTTTGTGACATGCACAGAAAAGGATGACTGTTGCAAAAGGGTTAATTAATAACTATGTTAACATTATACAGGTGGAGTATTTGATCAAAGACACTGTTATTAGACATCAATAAAGCCAAAGGTACATTACTTGATCAGAGACTAAGGTAAGTTGAATATTTAATAAAACACACATCTTCATTAGTATTTCTACATATTCAAGAGAATGATCCTAGTTATATTCTGTAGTATATTTAACAGATTAATGTGTAAACAATTTTAATACATTTTAGTATTTTTAATAAAAACTGTTGTAAAAGAAATGTGTTTTGAACTGTACTATTTCACTTTTGCTTTAGAGAATAAAAAAACAAAATAATTAACAACAAAATAAAGAACAATTCAGGAATCATGAGCAAACTAAAAAGAAAGAACTCCTTACACTAGTTACACTAATTAAGAGAAAGAATGTTCTGTATGGTATAACTATGGATTCTAGAGGACACAAATACCTCAACAGCTGTCTGACATGACCTTACTGTTCCTGTTCCTGTAGCATGCATCTGGGCAAGATTGTAGAAAGCCAGCACATGACCAGACTGAGATGCTAGAGAGTAAAATTTGATGGCAAGCTTGTAATCTCGTTGAACACCTAATCCACCTATTAGACATAACAAAAGATCATTTAGAAAAAAAATAACATACACAAAAGCATAAATTGTGCAACACTGAAAGCATAAAGGTTCCACTTATTTTGTAAAAGTGCAATCTAACAGAACACTTAACCCTATTACTACTATCACACACTTTAAATCCCTTTCTGCACATGTCACAAAGTGTTACTGAGTTACATTCAAAATTTAATTAAAGCACTTTACATTAATGCAGTTTAATGAACTTGACATTACCTAGTAGATAATAATTCAAGGTTTTATATTATGTTTTTTATTCCTTCATTTCAAAAGAAACCTCTTAAACATTAAAATTTGGTGACGAGGAACCCACTTTGAGACTAATAATGGCTGAAGACGGCTTGAATGGGTAATGAAGCAAATGTACAACGTTTCGACAAGGTTTTGTCATCATCAGGTACAGAGAAC